TCATTTTCTAAAGATGAATATTCTTATGAACGCGCTGTCCATTCGTTTCAAGTCACCATGGATGACATTTATAAACATCTGTGCAATACCGTCAGCAATTGTGCCTTTTAACCAGTTTTGCATTTTTATATAATATAATCGACATGGCGTGAGTCATCACCAGCTTTTAAAAAATCAAATGTTTAGTTTAGAAGACAAAAAGAACAACGTTTTTTATCTAAAATATTCTAAAATTTAACATGCCCTAAGCGCTCAAATACTTTTATTCCCTGCCCTCCCCTCGGGAAGGATAGTTTTCAATAAGTGGTTTTGTAAGAGATCACAGAATGCGCTTTAAGGCGACAGTGGTGCCGAAACCGGGTATCTACGAGTTCCTCACCCCCCCCCCCGAAATCGCATAACAATTGGAAGATATGAAAACATATATCTGTAGTATTATTCTATCTTTTTTATCGGACGGCTGTAAGACAACGGAATCAGGAAGCTTCCTAAACACGTTTTCAAAGATTTGACTAATTTGGAAGAGCTCTAATTAAATAAAAAAGAATTATATATTAAAGTTCACACGGCAACCAGGTGGACAATCATATAAAAGGACCTCTTGTTGCAGCGTTTAGATCACCACTAAAGAAGGCACTAGACAGGAATGTCGAAATGTTGGGTCTATGAATTGTAACTTCAGAAACCAGAGTAGCGTCAAACCATGTCAAAAAAGAATTATGTTTACAATTAAAATGCAAAACAATGAAATATTGACTCTTTCAATATCAATGTTCTCCTCCTTTAAATGTAAAAGTATTCAAAAAGAGATCCCGCGTGCAAGTTGTAGCGGGGTTGCGTTTGTACAAAACGCGCGCGAGCAAAACTATTTGATGGATTATAATTGGATGTACACTTATTTCATTAAAGCACATGATGGGCTTATTCCAAGTCGCTTAAAAAATTATAATTGAGAGCGATTTTATGATATTAACATTAAGTAGGGCAACGTAAGCGGACTCAAAATCCGCTGATCGCGAATTCCATCGACTTGCTGTGCTGACGTAGTCCCACTGCCTAAGGAGAAACTAGCCACTGTTATTACCAAACATGTAAGACAATTATCGGTAACCCTGGCTCTGTCAAAGCTAGCCGAGCAAGTATCTACGAAGGCCTAGCTACCCTGAGAAGATCGATCCGAACCAATTCAGCGTTACCTCAAAATCTTCTACGCTGCATGCTCTCATCATTCCAAAGGTAGTAGAAGTACAATCCAAAGCGCTGTAAAAGCATCAGAGCAGTGGTCTGCTTACAAAAATCTTCAGTTGAACTCAGATAAGTGCAAAGAACTAATTATTGACTTCAAGGGAACCAACACAAGTTCGGCGTTGTAACCGTCAACTCCAAGGAACTTGAAGTTGTTGCCCAAACCACATATCAGGGATAACCACGTCTAATATCTTTAAATGAAATTGTCATGTCTCTAATGTAATCAAAGGGGCCAATGAGCTCACACATTTCTTGATATTGCTAAAGGAGCGACTAAATGTTTCGGCTCATGATATTATGTGTTTGTATCTTACCTGCATTAGGCCGGTGTTAGAGTATTGTGCGCCCTTGTATTCCCGTGCATTACTGCTTATTTAAGCAAAGACCTAGAGCGTGTCCAGATAATGAAGAACCATGTTCGTATTTACATTGACATATACTTTACGCCCTTCTCCTGGCTGCTGTCCATAAAATGACAAAATCACTTTTAAGTTAAAACTCTAACTTCCTTTCCAAGTTAATCCTATTTAACTGCTAATCACCTCAGTGTCGGTGGCTAGTGGCTTGCAGCCGACACTGAGGTGAATAGTTGTTTTAGTATACACTAAGAGACGGAGGGAAATGAATAGCTTTTATCAGCGGAATAGATCCTCAAAGAAGTAGTTCTCCAAAACAACCTATTGTATCGTTTTCCGTGTGCTCACCTTCTATTGACATAATCTATGTTAGTTTAGGGGTTCCAGTTTCCCCAGCGCGCCTTATTAAAAGATATTTGATGAACTAACCTAGTAAAGCTAGCTTCCCACGTATTTTTCTCCTTTTTCTTATTTTTATCATCATTTATTACGAGAAACAATATGAAGTCAACAGTTAAAATACAATGCACTGAGACTGTTCATTAAGTCTGGGGGGAGGGGGAGGGAGGAATTTGATCAACCTGGGCAACTCCAGTAAATCCTTTCTAAACAATGAGATCAGTGTTTGACAGGCCAACCCAGGACTTCTCACCAGTTTTGGTGATTTGCGTTTGGAAAAGCACACAAAAGCACTTCATGTATCACCGCCAGATACAGGTTTTTGATAGTGTTAATTTTTTAAATTTTAAATTACATCAAATTTATTGTTATGCTAACCTCATATCATTTTCTACTAGCTTCGACTTGCAGATTATTATCTACTATCATTACCTACTAACGTTGACATGCAGATAGATGCAAACTAACTTAAAGGAGTTAATCGTAACTCGTGAGTGAGACAGAAACGTTATCTAAACATTAAGACAAAGAAAAAGTTTAAAAATGATATTGCAAAGTTGTCAAGCTACTTCGCTGTATTAGCTACATGTCTACTTTTTTCTCATGATTTTCTTCATTCTCTTCGACTAAAATAGTAATTGTACAAGAAATATTGAATGTTTTATTATCAGTTATTGAATACATATATCATTTGATCAATGATAATATGTGAACAGAGGCTATATATGTTGTTGATAAAGATGGTATATTTTTCTTGCAAGGTAGTTTTGCTCTCCACTGAGTTCTGTTCACGATATATCTCCGACACTAAGAGATGCAAAGCAATGAAAGGTTTGCTAAGATTTGTGAGTATATGTAGTTGCCATATCGACTGTTCTTTCTTATTTTAAACTCTATCATCTATTATCATTTTCTTGCAAGAAAGTACATATTTTTTCTTTGACTGTTATACGGAGAACAACCGTTGGAATCAGAAGGTCAGTGATATCAAAGCAAGATCACATTCTTTTAATGAAATTATCGACTTTGCAAGATATTTTTTCATGTTTGATCTGATCGGGAAAAGTTGGAGGGTAATCTTGTTTTAAATATACCTACTGCGTTTAACCAAACTATTACGACTTCTGGTGGAAATCTTCATTTTACAGTTAATCCTTTGTTAATAATAATACATATTGATCTTTTTGTGGAGCATTCACTGACTACAGTAAGGGAATCTAGCTTCATGTAAGTGATAAATTTATTCCTGAGCCATCAGTTGCTATTAACAGGGCACCTCCCCCTCGCGATTTAAACGATCGTACCGTGCGCAGGTGTCTAGAATAAACAGTCCTATAGGCTCAACGTATCATCCTAATGACATCAAGTTATCTTTACCTATAACGATGAAATAAGTTAAAAGGATTACTAATTATTAATTATTTATTAAAGATTACAAAGAAGTTTAGGGTTAAACTGGTGTTTACTTGATATCCTTCTATCGACTAATGATTACAACTTTGTATCATATTCCAGATCATTCTCTTCAACAACGTCTTCATCTCTTTCGTGGCTTTCTTCTAAATTAAAGTTGAAAGGAAAAGAAAGTTTAAGAAAAACCACAATAATGCTAATCGAATAAGCTGGAAAACTAATAGTAAAATGGACAGTTATTATTTATTTTGTTGTTCGTTTGACCAGATAGAAAAAGTTGTGAATAACCTTGTTCTTAGGGAGGTATTTGCTGCATTTCCAGCATTTCAGCTCCTTGCTGATCTAAATACACATAGAAATAAGTGAGCAAATAAGCTTCCTAACACAAGAACAAAAGCAAAACGATCTTTTAACTACATTTTATGAGATACATTTTCGAATAAATCCAATGATCTGGATAATTATAAAAACATTGTAATCAACAATGATGTGATTACACACCCTCCTTGTGAAGCTGTTGGTCAATTCCAATTTGATTGTCTCCATGCTGCTCTTGTGCATCTTGATAAAGGGATAAATACAAGAGTGTAAGACTCATCTTTCCCCAAAACACGAAGCTACAGCTAGCCATTTTACTTAGAAGACAGGCCCTTTCGAGACATGTGTTGGACACCAGGGTAATTAAATACAAAATAAAAGTAATCTTAGCCATACAAGCGCTGAGTGATTCTATTTCAGCGAACGGTTACTTAAAAAAACTAATTAAAAATGCTACTGAAGCTACGTTTTAGTGCATTTCCCCGTCAAAGTTCTTTGCGCTGTTTTTATGCCCAAAAACAGTCGAGTGTCTTAAACGAAGAGAACTTTAATTGATATCTACTTGGTTTGGTACAAGGAACGAGCAAATTATAGGTTAAACACCTTGATCTGGGTGCGACAGTCCAAGAATCTGCATTTCCGTCGCTTCTCCTTCATGTTGATCTGGGAAACAAAGATAAAAAACGAATTGAAGGACAACATCAAGAAAATAAAAATGGAAATGAAAACGATTCCTGAGGAAAATACAGTGACACAAAGAACTGCGCTGTTTTTTGCCCAAAAACAATAGGGTGTCTTTAGCGAAGAGAACTTCAATTGATATCTACTTGGTTCGGAACAGTGAACGAGCAAATTCCATTTTAAACACCTTGATCTGGATGTGGCAATCCAAGAATCTGCATTTGCACCGCTTCTCCTTCTTGTTAATCTGGGGAAACAAAGATAAAAACGAACTGGAGGACAACATCGGGAAAATAAAAATGTAAATGAAAACGATTCCTGAGGAGGATACAGTGACAAAAAGAACTCAGTAAAATGGTGTTACCCTCTTGTTGTCCGTTATCTTCAATCTCTCGTGGATCTTGTTGTTGTCCTTATCAAACAAGGCATGAGTAAATCAACAGATTGATACTACTACAATATGATATCCATCTCAAACGTGGCGTTAGTCACAGAAAGAACGTTTTACTATTATGAACAACGTTTTCAATTTTAGTCTATAAACTATCTAATAGAAAGAATGGAAAAATGGGCATAACTACTCTCTTAATATTCACTGCAGTGAAAAGTACTCCGTATGAAGCTTCTCAGCATTGCTATTTTGCTTCCCAGATACTCTTGCGCCTGGAGAGGAGAGAAAATTGTCAATAACGACGTCCATCAACTGACCATTTTCCCTTATCAATTGTTACAGAGTGACAAGCGTCAATGATCTCAATCGATTGCTTGCTCGAGGTCTTTATAATCATCACACTCTTGGTAGTGTAAAGTAACCGGGATGATTCAGGCCAGTACTTGGACGAAGTATAAGCTAACTTTCTCAGGCAGGTTAAAACTACTCATTTAAACAGCTGAATGGAAACAGTCACTGTCAGAGTGTCTAGCTTAAGAAGACCCCTGTCAGTGCGTTAAAGAACCCACCATGTTAAGCGCCAGACCGCCGGGTCTTGCCTCAAATAATTTAGATTTAAGAGGTAATGAAGAAATGTTATTCTTTACCTTTGGTGTTGCTAACGTGTACAGAATCGGGTTTATCGCTGAATTGATGGGCAGAGCAAACACGGCAATCCAAGCAGCTAAGTCTCTCGGTGGCTTGAAATTCTTCTCCAAAGGCGACCTCATACCAAACACGATGATTGGCATCCAGCAGAGACAGTCAGTGAAGATGATGAAGAACACTTTCTTGGCCAGACCGGTCTCCCTCCTTGTGTTGGCTGATTGGTTTTTAACTCGCACTCTGCTTATGAATATGGCGAGGTAGGCAACTGTGATGAATATGACGAGGAAGAAATTGAGGCCAACAAATACAGAAACAGAGTACTCCCAGCCTTCCGTTTTGTGACGAGAGAGCTGTAAGGGAAGGCAGACTACACTTTTCCGTAAAAGTTGTGATATGTTGTAAGATCTTCGAAGTATCTCAAGCCAAGCATCGGAAAGAAAGCCATGAGGAAGCCGACAAGCCATATGATAGCGCAAAGGATGTGGGTCATCTTCCGCGAAAGTGCCCCACCTCTGAACGGGAACACAATGTTCTCGAGTCGGTCTGCAGATATCAAAGCCATCAGCATCAAGGAGGCCTCACTGGATAGCAAAGAGGTGGCACCGGTTATCTAGCAAGCCAAACTGGACCGCCTCTCGAAGTCATGTAAGTAATACTCTCCTCTCCACAACACATCTTTGACACCCAGTGTGATTAGGTATGCTCCCATTACACCATCGGAGACTGCCAAGTGCAATAACATGATTGATTGTACCGTGTTTGTATCCTTAAAGACTGAACGCCATGTGATGACAAACACAGACCCAGCTAGGGAAAGGGAGCCGATTGCCCATATGCTCTTCCTCGGGGTTGGGCTCTTGAACATGCTCTCACAGTTTGCGAAGTCGTCATTCTCAATGAAAGCACAGTCAGCGTCCTCTTTGTGCATATGACAACACATCAGGTTAGTGTCGAACATCCTGCAACCGTAGAATATAATGCTATTCAGTGCATACAGATGGAATAAAATATAAAACCAAAAGCCTATACCCTAAGAGCACAAAGGTAACGCGAGATCAGTCAATCAGAATTCTTTTCCTCATATGGGGTTTATGTGACTATGAATCTTCATTGATTATGTTCGAAAATTTTTCATGCGATACTGTAAAGCAATGTAGTGCACAATAGCAGTCTTTGTAAGGCGTATTACCCAACAAAATGGAGGTTGTTATAAAAGTCGTCAATAGGGTAAGAAAGCCGACCATAGATATTTAGTAAAGTATAGAAACCACGAATTCATTTGCCTGAAGCTCTGTGCTAGTAAATATTTGAATTAAATGAACCCCCAGACGCTTTCTACTCATAGCTCTGCTAATAAGTTGTAAATGTATCAAATAAATCACATAAAAATCTTACACTCGTGATATGTCCTTCAACTCTTTAAAAAATCCGTAGGGAATCTCCCTCATGCGGTTATAATGCAAATATCTGAAAATTAGATATTTAAAGACAAGAATATAAGGATGAAATCAGTGAATAGAAGAGCATTTCCGGAGTGTTACTTCAAACTTAGCGTTTCGATTTGTGCTTTTTTAACTCGTGGATACGCGAGAGCGTAGAAACGAGTTGTTGTGGGCATTTTGGGATATGGTAATTGGCGTGAACTCTTCGTAATTAGTCGGCTCCGAATTCGAGATCTATCCTTCCGAAGAAGTCCGAAGTCCTGGCGCCATTATGATTGCATCGATCGTTGCGAAGTTTATTGTCTTGACATGGCTGTTTCGACATTTACTAAATTGAAATGGACTTCGAATGTTTCAGATTAGTGCTAAGATCAATATCAAGACCAAGTAAGAAGAGTTTTCGAATCGTCCATGCACTGAACATAACGAGGAGCAGCGAGAATCACGAAGAGTTAGTGAGTGACAGAACAAGCTGCTGACATTGAAATTCCCACGGAAACATGTACTCATGACATAAAAAAATAGTATTATTTCTTTCGTTTCAAGGTTTTTTTTTCTTTGGACGTTTTGGCAACTAGGCCTATTTCGGTCTTTTCGTTATGCTCGTTTCTTTTTGATGTTTTTCTATGCAAACGTGAGTGTTTTGATGGTAACAATGAAATATCATTTTATGATTGGTTGCCGAGCACATGACCATAATCTGGCCGGTGTTGTTTTGATCACTTGACGATCTTTGTCGCTCAAAACACACGACGACTATCTATTTCAAGGAATGTTTTTCTAGTTAATTTCCATCCGTGTAAATAAATACAAGCATATGCGTATACTGAAGAACAAAAGAGAAATTCAGAACTACAAGAAATTGCGAGTAATCGGCCTCTTCTGCTACATGTGGGTTTTTTGGTGTAACACGGGTGTGTTTCCCAGAAGTTACAAGCACTTTACGCACGTGGGAACGCTGCAATCACAGTATGAGCAGTGCAAGGTAGAATGGTTATTGTCAACCTGGAGTGATTATGTGCGATATTTTGCTTCATCACTCTTTGCCATTTCTACCACATATTAATTCAAAGAAGGGGACGGGGAGGGGGGGGTGAGGGTTAAAATTCCTAGAGATAGGCGAACAGGGTCGCATTTTCACGACTGCATTAACTTTTATGACGTTGCATTTTCAGCTATTTTCAATAGAGTTATGGGAATGGGGTTACACATTTTTGAGATTTCAGGCGTAAGAAAATTATGGCAAGTAAGGATTCATTAGGAGGAAGATTCATGGTAAAAAAGTTGTTACCGTATTTTAATATTTAATAAGCGGTTCCAAATCCATTCCGGTCTTGCCCAAAAGCAAAGATGGGGTCTATAACCGGCCACAACATAGGTTGAAATATGGCAGAGGTTTTGAGAGGCTAGCTGCACATACCCAGTAAAAAATGACTCATGTACTTCCCCCCCGGGGGGGCTTTCCATCACATACTCAAGTGCTATAATTTCTATAATTGCAATGGTTCTACTTTCTATCTTTTTTTAACACCTTAGTTTACTGATAGTAACTTTACAAGCACAGATCTCTTTAATTCTTTTCCCACGAGTTGGCCACAGACGCCCTTTGATTATTTTCTTAACTGAACCTTTGATGGCAGTCGGTGTCTTTCATAATTTGATTCTCATTTTATCATTGATAAAAATTGAACACTCACAGAATTTTTAGCTGCCTGTTTCGTTGAAGTTGTTGATGGAAACATTCCTCAATTCGTTGTCAAAGAGTTCTCTTACAAAAAAAATGAAAAGAAAACAATTAGCTTTTTTGCATTGATGTGTGGATCATTATTAGATTATTAGATTAGTAGAAGGTACTGAGGTACCACTTCGATCAAATTAAGCACAAATGAATTTCATATTCTACTTACAGAATCTCAAGCTCCGTTAGGCCTTTGAAAATTCCTTCTGGCAAATTTCTGAGTTTGTTTCCCGACAGATAGCTAATGAGGAAAGGAAGAAAATAAAATGTATGGCGAACTTCAGGAATTAAAGAACGGGATATCGATGACATTTTTCATAATTAGCAAGAAAATTTGAAAACATTTTAAATGTAATCACATACATTTTTTTCAGTTTTTTGACTTTTCGAGAGGAGCATCGTCGTTGCAGGAACTTCATGAACAAGTTGTTACTGAAAATTTGTCTACATCATATCTAACCCGGCTTATAGGTTTTCCAGCAATCTCCACAGACCCTCCGCATGCATTTATATTATCCATTCAGGAAAAACATGGGGAAGTTGTGACACAGGGCCTTAAATTTTCTTAAATATGGAAAACGTGATCGGTTCAGCGTTTTCTGCAGGAAAAACCCATAGAAAACTCGAATCATATATAAACTACTTACAGCTCTGACAGCTGTGCCAGTCCGCGAAATTGTTTTGGATGGAGCTTTATTAACTTATTTTTCTCTATTTTTCTGTTAAATTGTGAAACAGAAACCTGTTAGTGACCAACCTTCTTCTTAATTTGAAATTTGAATTGGTGCCAACGTATCTAGCGTGCCTTTTGATTACGATTTCTTCACCCCAAGCCAACGTAACCTCAACAACCAATTAAAAGGAAAAAAAATTGATGACAGCACTTGGTTTTAGCTTTGAATCCAACTGGTTGAAAAGGCGGCGCATGTTTTTAGATTATTGATAGGGGTGATGAAAGCAAAACGAGAGCAATCCTCGATTAATTTTGGCAGTAAATTGAAGTAAACTGATCCATCCTAGACCTCACATAGCTCTAAAATCGTCCAGTTCGAAAGCAATTTAAACATGGTCACAATTCTTTTCCGTAATTTGACATTCAGGATCTTTTAAAATGTTCTCTTACTGTTTTATTTCCCAATCGATAAATCAATCAATCGACTGTCAGCTAATTAATATTTCAAGATTTCCATCTCTACTCACAATGCCTTAAGCTTGGTCAGGTTAACAAATATCGTTGATGGTAATTCTCCAATTTGGTTATTGGATAAAAACCTGCAAGTACAAAACAGCAAGCCAGACATTGACGAATGACAGGTTTCAGTGTATGGAAAACATCTGTCATTTGCGTTTAACGGCAAAACAAAATGGTTCCCGTAGCTTATGATTGCAACTGTTAAGATTGACAGTATTTTTTACAATGCAAACGATAGAAAGATATATCATTGGCATTCATTGAGTGGGATACGTTTTGGTGAACATGTTTAATTAGATCAAGTGGAGAGACATAATTTGATAACATTAGTGTCAATGCATTATGAGGCAGACTAGAGAATAAAGAAAAATAGCCATCAGGGGACTTTTAGTTGATCCAATACCAAATTCTCCAAACTAACATCATAGAAATTGTATGGCAGATAGTAAGGAGAATTACTGATGAGATCTTGGGAGTGAAAGGGTTGAGACAGAAATTGAGAAATTCTCGTAACTCGAACGTGCTTAGGATGAGAACCGCTCTCCTTGTCGTGGCTGTTTTTGTTATGTAATATTTTTATTGTTGACTTACAGGTTTTTGAGACTTGTTAGGTTGCTAAAGACGTCTTGTGGCAGATTCTCAACCGTATTATCAGACAGATCCCTGAAAGGCTCGAGGGAAAATGCATTAGAACTTTCAGAAAATTCAGAAAAAAATAACATCAGCTGGAATGTAATTCGCGCGAAGAAGACAGTATGAGGAAACAACCAAACAGCTCTTGCGCTACATTTCACTAGACACCAGTCTATCTTCATACTTAACGTAGGAAGAGCACTGAGCTACTCCACTTATATTTAGATTTCAGGCTCTTTACTCAAGCATCCTCACGCATATAGCTCATAGCATAACTACCGCGGAGGACCACGTACCGGTCAGATCGGGACGAGAGAGAGAGATGTGAGAGAGAGTTCATTAAAATATTCAAATTCGCAGCCTTTTTAGGACTGATTTACGTGAAATTTACAAAAAGTTAAAGTTATATACGCATTTTTAAAGTAATAATCTCGTGTAATATAAAATGATTCTAAAAAA